CTGAGAGTTTGCAGAGTTAGGGGCTTGTAGCTGTGGTGTAGAATGACATATCTCCCCTTCTGGTTGAGATGCTGGCGTGGAATCACATTTATGACTGTCTGCTGGGGATGCGGGAAGTCCACCTCCATGCATTTTTGCTTTTTTGCAGGCCGGCTCTGGTTAAACAAACAAACAAAAGGCTATCACCAACATTCCTAATAATGTAATAACGCTCCCCTCCCTTTAGTTTCTAAAAAAATAATACTAATGATTTTGTAGTTGGATAAAATGCTAGATATTATACCTCCTAACAGCATTCGTGTTGTGTAGCTTGTGCATGGCTGGGCCTCTTGGGGCTCCTGGGGTAATGTAAGGTCTACATATGGCTGGTCATCCACCCATTCTGAAGGAAAAAAAGCCCCCAATGTTCAGAATTGTTGCAGAAATGTTTACCAGAATCTAAAATGTTATGAAAATATGAAAGACAAATACCTTCATACGCCCTCAAACATTCTGAGTCTGTCAATTGGTTCTCTACAGTAATAGCAACATCAGTGAATAACTGGTCATCCTCCCATTCTGAAGGAAAAGAGAAATCCTATGGTCAGATTTGTTGCAGAAATGTTTACCAGAATCTAAATGTGTGAAAGTATGAAAGACAAATACCTTCATAAGCCCTCAAGCATTCTGAGTCTGTCAATTCATTCTAGTGAAATAAAACAATCAATCAGTCAAACAAGCAAGCAGACAAGAATATTCTAAAACTCCATTTTGCATCTAAGTGTTTCAAAAATTAGCCATAAAACTACTTACAATAGTGGCTTCCATTCTGAAAAGGGTCTTCTTAGCAGATCAAATGGCTCCAGAGGTACAGATATGCCAGAAACCAGCAAATGTGACTAGACCAGTATGGACCCTGCTTTTGTATACGCTGGTGATGTCACAACTTAATCACATCAGAGGAGGTGTGTTTTTCACAACTTTTGCAAATCTGACCAGCCCCGCCTCATCAGGGAAACCGAATTGAATAATACCCCTTGAGTTTTGATTAAATTGTGTTTAACATCTGCCAAAGTTAAACAGGGGTCAGCAAAAGAAAAACATAATACATATTTCATGTGATTTGTAAAGCCCATTTTATTATAAATTTCATAGCATTAAGAGATTCTTGTAATTAATTTCTGTTACATTTTGGCATATGAGCCTCTTCAGAGACAATGGCAATTCAGATTCAATCTTTGACATTAATGACAGTGGTTTACGGCTCTTTTCAATACGCTGTATGAATGTCTTGACCTCATCAAGGGAACCCTGGGTGAAATATAAGTTATTCATTTTGTCAGAAATACTGATGATGATCCAGAGAACATGAGGCATAGAAAGTCTAAAGCATAAGCTTTTAATATGTTCTGTTTCACTGGTAGCATCCACGTGGTCTTCATCTGATTGTAGACACCCCATTAAACAGTGGTGTAATATTTTAATAATACACGCTTTCAGAATCTGAGGCATGCTGACATTTTGAGACTCCGCCGTTTCTAAAGCAGGAAATAAGGTAGATTTAGGCTAGCTGTTTCAACCAATCAAAATACTGTTTTCTTAATTTTATATATACCGTATTTTCCGGCGTATAAGACGACTTTCTAAGACACAAAAACCTTCTTAAAAGTTGGGGGTCGTCTTATACGCCGAGTCGTCTTATACGCCGGAAAATACGGGTATTCTATTTTATTTCTTTACACATGTGGTTTGGTATATTACTCATCAAGTTTTCTCTCCCCCCCCTCACTCAAAAAGAGTCCTTGATTGGTAGAGTGGCAGTGGGAAGAGCAATTAAACTCTAAGCTGTTTGTTTCAGCAATCCGTCCCCGCGGCTCACCTCTAGCAGGCGTGTGGTTTGCAGCTGCTTTTTGCTAACTTGAAGTCACAGGCTGATAAATGCCTGGGGGTCTCAATCTGTCTCCTCGCTGCTTCGCACTTTCTGAGCTGGAGATCAGGGTGGGAGGGAAGGATTGGAGGGAGAGGGAGGAGGGAAAGGAGGGTGTTTGTGTGTGTGTGTGTGTGTGTGTGTGTGCGTGCGCGCTTCTCCTCGCTGCTTTCTGAGCTGGGAAGGACTGGAGGAAGAGGGAAAGGAGGCCACGCCCACGCACACACACACGCTTTGCATTTTCCGAGCTGGAAATCGGGGTGGGAAGGGAGGATTGGAGGGAGAAAGGAGGCGTGCGTGCGTGCGTGCTTACTGGAAATCAATAGCCATTTTTACAGTACTGCACAAAAATTACTTTTTCCTTATCTCACTCCTTAATTTTCATTAATGTGCCATGAATAGCCAATGCAGATATGCATGCTTCAGCAGGTGAATCATTTTGTACAGAAATCAGCAAGGTTTAAATAAGTTAAAAATTACAACAAGCAACTACTGAAATATCTGTCAGCGCGTCCTCTTCGGTGCCCAGAAAAGAGCCGACAAACAGGAACGAATGACAAGCGAATGGCCTTTAATCCATACAGCAACAAAGTTAGCACTGGGAGTGAGTTGCTCCCAGTGCTTTACATAGGCTCCCACTTGCTGTTCCCACCCCCCCACCCGGCAAACCAGCATCCAGCCTGTGGTGAATAAAAGCAATTAGCAGAGGCGTCACCCCCCCCTCCGCTTGACGTGCCATTCTCTCCATGGCATTCCAGGAAACAGAGTAAGGCAAGTTCCTCTTTCCCTTGCTGTCTCTCATTGTGCTCCCAGCCCCTAAGTGTCTCTGGCAGTCTGGTGTGCACGCGCGCGCACACACACACACACTTCTCCTCGCTGCTTTGCACTTTCTGAGCTGGAAATCAGGGTGGGGGGGAAGGATTGGAGGGAGAGGGAAGAGGGAAAGGAGGCGAGTGTGTGTGTGTGTGTGTGCGCGTGCACGCTTCTCCTTGCTGTTTTCTGAGCTGGGAAGGATTGGAGGGAAGAGGGAAAGGAGGCATGTGTGTGTGTGCTCCTATCATCATCAGTTCAGTTTGGTTGACAGCTTAGAAAACAAACAGCATGGCAGCTCCCATGGTTTTATTGTCTTATCCTTCCTTTCAGCTTTAGAGTGAATTAGGAAAAGTTTAATCCACTTGCACTGTTTTATGTTTATATGTTTGATGACAGCCTTATGTTTATAAATGACAGTTTTTCTGCTAAGTACATGCATGTCATAAGCATTTGAATTAAAATTACCATATTGAAATCAAATCTGATGTTTTTTAATTTTTATTTGGTGTGCGTTGGAAGAGGGGTAGTCTTATACGGTGAGTATAGCCCAAACTCTATATTTTAACTGGAAAAGTTGGGGGTCGTCTTATACGCCCAGTCGTCTTATACGCCGGAAAATACGGTATATATATTTACTTACCATTTGATGTTTTGCAGAATCTGCAATAACAAGGTTTTATAAGTTTGTTCTCTTCAATGAAACTGTATAACTCAGGTCCTTTTCTTATTCTGCGCCCACGCTTGGGTGGTTTGGGGGTCAAATTTACATCAAACAAATCTCCATCAGAGGCTGCCATCTTCAAAAGACTGCTGGGGTTAAATCGCTAGCTGTTCAGGCCTGCCCACACAAACTCCCCTGCCCCTTGCAATGACACGCCCTTGAGCATTGCGCATGCCCAGATCACGGGGAGCATGACATGCCCGGGCATGTCCCTGCCCGCGCAAACTCCCCTGCCCCTTGCAATGACACGCCCTTGAGCATTGCGCATGCCCAGATCACGGGGAGCAAACTCCCCTGCCCCTTGCAATGACACGCCCTTGAGCATTGCGCATGCCCAGATCACGGGGAGCATGACATGCCCGGGCACGTCCCAAACAAGGCCTAACCCCCCTTTTTTTACTAGCAGACAGAGAGGCATGGCTGCTTGCTGCTTGCCTCTTGTGAGCCTGGTTGGCTGCTTGCCTCTTGTGAGCATTTTAATTCCTGTTAATATTCCTTGTCTTTTGCTATAGTGGGGAGGGGGGCAGAATAAATTTTATTCAGGGTGCAAATGGCAAAATATGTGTCTTTAGATTTTTTACAAAGGTAAAAACCAGCTGTGGGTTTTAAAAGGGGCTGTGTTTGTTTGTTTTTTCCCCTGCATTCGAGGAAATGCTTTTAAAGCCACCTAGACATAAATACCTTTTAGAAAAAAATATCTTTTAGAAAAAAGGGGTTAAATGCAGGCTCTGGCTGCCTTTCAGGGGCTTCTTTTTCCCCAGCTTTTGAGGCACTGATTTTTAAAACTCCACAAAAATTAAAAGCATCGTTAGGCTAGAATGATTAGAAATAAAAAGCCTTTTTTATTTTTTATTTCACAGCTCCCCAAAGTAGGGCTTGTTTCCCAAAAACACAGGCCTCTGCTAATTATTCACTTAGCTCTTTTGGGTTTTGAATGTCCATAGAAATAGTCTAGGGTTAACAGCTCCCCAAAGTAGGGCTTGTTCCCCAAAAACACAGGCCTCTGCTAATTATTCACTTTACTTAGCTCTTTTTGGTTTTGAACGTCCATAGAATTAGTCTAGGGTTAACCTAATCATGTACCCAGAGGATTGACTGCCAATCTTGATGGGATTAGGCCAAAACGTCACATCCGGAGGGTGGGGGCTGAGCACGTCACTTCCTTTTAGGGCCGTGCCCTGCTGACGTAATCAGCACGTGGGCTTGTTTACTTTGATGACGTCACTGATCAAAAGTGCTGATAATTTTCATTAAAAAAAGGTATACACTACTTCTACTATGGATCAAGGATCATTAGCAAGCCTGCAATCTAATAGATTTCATTACCTCCATGAGCCATACACATTATAGTTCCATGAGTAGAGGAGCAGAACAATCACAACCCTGGAGCATTAAATATTTTTACATTGAGAATAATAGTAACTTCAAGCTGTGCAAATGTTAGGAGTCAGATTTATGTTTCATTGTATATATTTAGTATCAAATTCCATTTTTTTAAAAAAATAGGATCTATAGGTTACCCAAACTTTAATAGTCTCAAAGTAAATATATTTTACTTACCAATAGAATACATCTCTAATTGCTGCCGAAGACGGACTTTTTTCATGCTGTCATAAAAATTTGGTTCAGATATTTCTACAGTTGGAGGTAATGTAAAAATCCTCATAATCTTCCTCTTATTTCTGAAACCCAAAAGGAATAAAAAAACATAAGTAATACAAAAGCAGATGTTTCCCTTAATGGTAAATGAAATTAGCAACCTGTCTTAATTTCTACAGCAAAGGAATAGAAATACAATTGGAATTTCAATTAGAAGTGGCAATGATTATCTCCAATTTCCTGAAAAAACAAATGTTACCATCACTGAAAGAAATTAGGCTATGAATGTTTAAATGTCACATAATAGAAAGGCTTCCTGTTCACTGCATTCTAATATCATATTTCATGCAAAGGCCTCTAACAGACATTTATGTCCTGTGAAGAGCCTGTGTGTTCACCTAAATGTAAAATGCATAGGTTCAGTATTTAGATGTTATACTTAGCATGGACATGAAAGCCAGTGTAAATTAGCTGTATCAGCTTGTACAGATCAGTCAGTGTACAGATCAGTCCTGCAAAGTTTTTCAATTACAGCAAGGAAATGTCTGCTTCTTTAACTGATATTCAAATAGCTAGTACCTGAGACTTTTCAAAAGAGTTAATATACAGTAAGTGTTTCAGAAACAGAGTTTGTAAATTAAGAACTATCCAATGCAAATTTCACATGTCCCTAATTGTCCTAAGTCTTTCATGCACACAATTTATTCTTTATTCTAATACTCAGTGAGGGATCAATATTAATTAGATTTTATCAGATTGCAGCTAGATAAGATGAAGTATTTTAAAAATCTGGCTGAAATAGATATTTAACAGCTTATTATTTCATCTTCTTGCCGTTCTGCTTGCAGATGTTTCTGTTATTGATAAAGGTATAGTTTCTTTCAAAGTGATTTTTAACACAATAGCAATAATGATGAGTTTTTATTTTTATGAAGTTTGTTTTTTTTCATATTAGCTAAACCACACTTATCCTAACTTATTGAAAAGGCAATTATTAGCTACTGAAAAAAATAAGGAAAGTTGCAAAACTCTGAACTCTTAGGCAGCAACTAATTCAACAATTGAAAACAGTCATACAATACTCATAATAAACACTTATTGAACATATCTATGAAGATTCTCAATCATCCAGGTCGTGATTGTCCCAATGATGCTTCAGCAGAACTGAAGAAGCTTCTTGGATGAGAAGCAAAATGTCTTCAAGCAAAAACAAAGAAAGTCTTTTGTAAAAGCAACTTTGGGACACTTATTTGAATAAAAACTAGTCATCATCCTCATAAAAATGCACCGATAGAAAGGGGTTGCTTAATACTACATGGTGAGATGTGAAGTGCTGAGACAGAACCAAAATAGGTAGGCATATTCTATGAACAGAACATATTTCTCTCTGACATCCTTTCTTCAAATCCCTAAATAAATAAATACAACTTATTTTATTCACAGAAATTCCTGTTTTGTTGCCACTTCCAGAGCTGTTAAAGTTTGTAACTATTAGCCTAGAAGCTTGGACCTAAATCTCGAGATAACCAATTGCTGATGCAACAGCCAGCATTTGCAAGCCTAGCCATATGACCTGAAAGTTTGTAACGTTATTGCCAGAAACTTTGGCAATATCACAAATTTCCACTAAGATCTATTATCTAGGAATTATCTAGGAAAAGCAGCCCAATACTCGATAAACCGTGAATTAGAAAGCCTAATTTGCCAATCAGAATTCAGCAAAAAGTGGTTTCTCTTGGCCTTCGCATCTACATTGGGCAGAAAAGTGTAATGATCTACCGGGTTAAGACGCTTACGTATTCTTAAACAATCTACAAATAGCAGTTGTAGGAGTCACTTCCTTCCCTATTGAGATTCCCACCTGCGGGCGTACACCAACAGGGCCAAGCTGGCCAGCACCGCCAGTAAGTAAATGTTGGTGGCTTCGTTCCAAGCCTCGTGTACTGAATAGTCCATGGCGGCTACACCACCCCCGCCACTTTCGCCCAGCGCCCGGGCACCGGCCATAGAGAATAGAAGAAATCGCTGACCTCCGACCCCAAACAGGAAACGAGACGTGACCTCAGATCCTTCAGACGCTTCCAGATCGAAAACAAAGGCTTAGCTTCCGGGTTGAGTTAACGCCGCTCATTGTGATGAAAACGAAAGCCGAGCGTTCTGGTGGTGTTACTGTGGGCTTTGCGCAATTGCGACCTGGTATTATCATTTTTTTTCTTATCCACCCGGATTGCCTCCCCTGGCATCCCACAGAAGTCTTTTTTAAAAAACGGGCATTGATTTTTCTCGTATCAACTGTTTCCAGCGGGAAAATGGGAGGCTTTGAGTGTTCCAAATGGCAAAATGTCTGAATGGAATGCATAATTTCTGCACGCGGAAGCCAGATTTGGACTGGAAAAGGAAACCAATAGCAAATTTGGAGATAAAATTTAAACTTCCCTTTTATCAAGAAGAATGGCCTATATCGGAGAACTTTTATCACGTGTATAGAAACTATTCGTCAGATTTATATACATTTTGTTATTAAAAAGCTATATATATTGTTATTGGGAGGGAACATGGATTGTAGAGGAGATAGTATAACTGCAGGCTAGGGAATTCTTGGAGTGGATCAGTAGTGGGATTCTGCCAGCTCGTACCAGTTTGGCAGAACTAATAGCTAATTTTTTTTGTTGCCCAGGCCCAGAATGGACTTCTGAAAGTGGCATCCACACAGAGAACCGGTTGTTCACACATTTGAATCCCACAACTGGAGTCAAAGACTACACATCTTAAAATTGGGGGCCTAGACAGATAAAACTTTATTGAAGCCTTAGACCAGCAGCTTAAAATAACATTTATTGGTCACATATCATAGTAATGTAGTGCAAAATAAAAACATCCATTAAAGAAAAAGAAAATGGAGAAACAGGATGTGAATACACTAATTGAAGAAAAGGATGTTACAAATTTTACAATAAGTCAATTCCAATTAAGTCCAGTAGCTTCTGACAGCAATTCAAATTGTATTGTTGTCAGACTCACTCAAAGATCCAAACAGGAACCAGAATTTCTCTCACCAAGGAGATTGGTTATGGTCATTAGGCAAAGACTGCATCTTTGTTAAGTGATGTCCTCACACTTTTCCTCTGCCTCAGTCATCTCTGCTTCAACTCTCCCCACTTGCCTGTCCCCCTCCCCATCACTGCCTTTTTTAATTGTCCTTCACCACCACCTAACCCTGTAAATCTTTCCAAATCCCTTCCTAGCCTAGAATTCTAAATATGTATTTGAGAGTAATGAAAGGTGGATACATGAAATGTGAAATGGTAGGTCTGTTGCAACCCTGAATTTTTTGTTTAACATCAGGCTTTTTTTCAGGCCATCATAAACAGAACTGGGCAAGCAATAAACTAGGATAAAATTTGATTTTAACTCTTGTTTCTTTTTATGGTATCAAAATGTCATGTCCCAAAGGATTTTGCCCACAGTGGACATAATTGATGCGATATGACATTGTGATTACAGCAATAACTTAAATTTGTAGAATGAACTGTCAACCATTGGTTAATAATCCTAATCTAATTTATCTAGTAGAAGAAAAACAAATAGTTGAAAGAAGTAGATGTAATCAATTGGTACATGAAATTCAATGGTGAGCAAAACAATTTGGAGGACAAAAAAGGAACAAAAACCTTTATTTTTGCGTGAAAAAGTGAATCTCATCCAAAAATGCGCTTGAGCCAGTATTTTAGCTAATATAATATTAATATTTGTATGTCACCTCAGAATCAGAATCACAGTCTCTTAGGTGGCCATATAAATTATTTTTTAAAACAAATCCATTTACAACATAAATCAAAATTCTTTCATGGTTGCCATAAATCTCTAGATTTGCCAAACCTACAGCTGTGTATGTAACCATTCAGACTTGATAAAAGTAGAAAGTCCTGTGAACTTAGTATTTGAATTTTATCAATAGCTTTTGGAAGGAAGGCATTTGTTTCTCAGTTGCTAAATTGTCTACCGACATCCACTGTTAACTAATTATTTTAGTTACTAAATAAGTCCTTATTATGTAATTTAATATTTTCTCCTTTGAAAGTATGTAATAATAGTATTCTGAGACATATTCTACTCTTTGTTTAGTTATAATATTTCTTTGGATAGTTCCTTCCAGAAAGGTGTATCTTTTCTCACATATTCAACTTTTGTTTAGAAACTGATAAAAACACATCTGATTTTCAAAGTGTTTGCCAATTCATAAATCCTCTGGATCTGTGGATTTTTCCATTTTATATCCTTTTGCAAATTTCAAGAACTACTGAACAAGAAATCTAAACATTGGGCATCTATTACAGATAGTTCTGGAAGAGTTAATCATACAAAATGTATGTTACCTTTTTAATCATACAAAATGTATGTTACCTTTATCCTATTGAATATGTAGAAATGTATAATCCTTTTGAAAAATTCAAGCTGTTTATTGTTGATAACTATATGACTATTAATATTAATTTTACAAATAATATTTTAAATGTATTTACCTTGAATTATCAAATTGATAATACTTATGCTTTAATAATAAAAATTAGGTTGAACTTTTGCTAGTTTTTAAATGTCCAGCTCTCCCCTTTTCCTTTCTAATAGCTGATATATATTGCTGATCCTATTCTATTTTATTTAACCCATAAATTGTTAACTTCTGAAGGCAATGCATTCATCGTCTACAGTATATACGTTCCTTTTTAATCTGTTCATTTGGCTTATACATCTACTTTTTATCATCTCCTTCCTGGCATTCCTTTCTGTTGTGAACCATGTACATCATTTTTATTAGTTATTCTTTCACTTGTTGAAAACAATTAAAATTTCAAAAATGAGTAAATGTGATATTTGTATCTAATTTCATAGAAACTCTTGTATGTATTTTTGTTCATTTCTTATTTATGGTTTGGCATTCTTTTGCTTACTGGGTGCAGAATCTAACTTTTGTCAGCAATTCCTCTCAACTTAGTGTCATCTGCAAATTTGACAAGATTTTTTTCTGTCTCCTCATCTAGTTTGTTTATGAAGATACTGAAGAGCAATGGGCCCAAACCAGAATATTAAAATACCGCACTGCATGCTTCCCTCTACATAGATGTAGTTCCATTGAGGACTATGTGCTGAGTGCAGTTGGTTAGCCAACTGCAAATCCATCTAGTGCTGTACTGTCTATCCTACATTGTTCTACCTTATCAAGAAGTAGGCTGTTGTTTACTTTATCAAATGCTTTATGGAAGTCTAAGTATGCTATATAGTATGCAGTATAAATATATACTATATGTCAGAATCCAATTATATTTCATCTTTAATTATCAAACATAGAAAACCCCAATTCTGCCTTCTCTGGATTCTGCCATAAGAGGGAGAGAAGGGGGAGAACAAAGGGGCTTTATGGCCCTCACTTCCTTCAGTACACTTCTAAGAAACTGAATGTGTTTATTGCACATCAAAGGAAGACTTTGAATGTAACTAGCATCAAAGAACCTTACCCTGACAAAGGGAGCTAATTACCTTTCATGTAGTTTATCTGAAATCTCTATACAGACGGAAGAAAGAAGCAAAGGGGTGGAATTGTGATGCCTGAAACTATCACTGGAAGGGGGGGTGATTGGGTGGGACTGCTGGGGAACCCCTTAAAACCTTGAATGGGAGAGCTTGGACCCCAAGTCCTGTCTAGCACGCCTGCAACCACTTCTTCTTAATAAAGGATTCCTGTTGGAAGAATTATTCCAAGAGTTCTGTCTTCTTAAGATGCAAAGTGGGGTGGGTCCTTACATTAGACAGGACTTGCAAAATTAATCCACCTGGAAGGGAGACCCTTGCCGGGGGATTTTGCAAAAATTTACCATGTCAGACAATGGAGCAAGAGAGGGGGAAAACTCCCTGGAAAGAGAGCCGCTGACCCAGTTGGAACCTTGCCAGATGTTGGGATCCGAGAGGTCAGATTCCTCGGGAGAAGAAGTGGTGGAGACACGGGACCACAAACCTCGCTGGTCAATGGGCGTTGGCGTTGGAAAGAAAAGTGAGTGGGGAAAGGAATCAAGAAAGGTGACCCTGAGACGGGGGACCAAGCAACCAGAATGGAAGCAGGAGATGGAGAAATCCCTGCACGCAAGTGAAGAGGGAGGAAGCTGGGCACCGTACTCAGACTGGATCCTAGAGAAAGCTATTGACCTGATGAAGAGAACTCTCAGCTCCCTAGGAGAGGAGAATCCTGAGCCCTACGGCCGCCCCAGCTCCTGGAGCCGCAAAGGGAGAGACACCGAGGGGGACGTGGAACCTGCAACCCCGGGGACATCTACTGATCCAGTAGCCCCCACCCCCTACGGACCACAGATGGCAATCTGGACGGAAGACACTACCACCAACAACGGAGGCACAGATCCATTCCAAGACGTCCACCGTTGGAGGTGAAATTCAAAGGGGAGCCAACACGCTTGGGGTTTTTCCTAACCCAAGTCCTCAGCTACATGGAGGAATATGGGCAGGACATTCCCAGCGACAAAGCCCGCATCCGGATCGTGCAATCTGCCCTGGATGGACCAGCTGCAGATTGGGTAGTGAACTTGCATGACTCCAATGCCCCAGAACTCAGTAACTTCAACCGTTTCATGTCCTCTTTGAGAAGACGATTTGAAGACCCCCTGGCTGATCGCAAAGCCCGTGAAAGGATAAAAACGATGAGGCAAGGCAAACGCCCAGTGGCTGAATATACACAAGAATTCCGGGCCATTGCCAGCAAACTGAATTGGCCAGAAGACATTCTCCTCAGCCATTTCAAAGACGGACTAAACTATGATCTATATGACGCTTGCCTGCCCCGAGGGGACCCACACCAACTTGAGGAATGGTACGTCTTGGCAGAGGAAGCAGAGATCGACATATTGAAGAGGCACCGCCGAGGAAAACAATGGAGCCGCTCCCCGCCTGAGCTGACACACCAACCGGTGAAATCATCGGATACAACCAAGAGGCAAATGGGATGTTTCAAGTGCGGAAGAGAAGGGCATCGAGCTGTAGAATGCCGCTCAAAGGCCCCCCAGCACAACCCAGACAGATCCCCAATCAACAAATCCGGAAAGTCTTCAGCTAAGCCAAAAGAAACGGCCATGAGAATGATGGAAATTGCAGAACCCCCCACTTCTGCTCACCAAGGAGAAAGAACTCCAGCCTACACCACCGGGCCGGTGGATGCCTCAGATGACAGCTCGGAGGGCGAACCCTTGGTAAGTGGATGCATCACACCC